AAATAAATAAAATCTTTAAAAAAAAAAAAAAAGAAAGAAACCCTAACACCTAGTACCTCAGAATGTGGTTGTTTTCGGAAATAAGGCCTTTAAAGTGGTAACGGAATTAAAATGAGGCTGTAGAGTGGGCTCTAATCTAAGCTGACTGGTATTCTAAGAAGAGGAAATTCAGACACACAGAGAGATACCAGTGGCCCCTGCGCGCGCGCGCGCACGCGCGCGCGCACGCGCACACACACACACACACACACACACACACACAGGAAAGACCACACAAGGACAGAGCGAGAAGGCAGCCATCTACAAGCGAACGAGAGAGGCCTCAGGAGAAACCAACCCTGCCGACACCTTGATCTCAGCTTCTCGCCCCCAGAACTGTGAGAAAATACATTTCTGTTGTTTAAGTCCCCAGGCTATTTTGGTATTTTGTGGTATTTTGTTATGGCGGCCCTAACAAACTCATACAGTTGGCCAGATGGCTGCAGTGGTTTTTGAAGTGATACAGACATGATGTCATTCATCATTATCCTGCTTTTGATGTCATCCACCCTTGATGAGGCTGAAGGGTTTCCCCTTCCTGTGTGTCTTTTTATTGTGCGCCTGTCCCACAGATGCTTCAAAAAACTTCCCTTAGGAGTCTAGGAGCCAGATGTATTTGCCAGGATATATTTTGGCTGCAACAAAGACACAAATAACAGTGGCTCAAACATAATAGAAGTTTCTCTCTTCTATCACCTAAGCAGTTCAGGGCAGCATACCTGGGACTGCTGGGTCCGGGACCCAGGGGCTTCCTATCTTACTGCTAGGCCATACTGGGATTTTGTTCTCACCTTCAACACAGCTACGGTCCAGCCAATAGGAAGGGTAAACCCAGCCGGGAGAGCACAACCCCTCCCTTTAAAGGGATGACCCGTAAGTAGTACAAAATTCTACTGCTCACATCCCGCTGACTAGAACTGGTTTCCTTGGCCACAGCAAACTGCGAAGGAGGCTGGGAAATGTGGTCTTCTATT